TTTTTTGGGGGGGGGGAGGGGTAGAGAAAAAAAAAATTAAAAAAAAAAAGAGAAAAATAATTAATTTTTTTTAAATTTTTATTATTTTTGTTTTGGGGGAGGGGAGCCCCGGGGGGGGGGGGGGGGGGAAGGGAAAAAAATAATTAAAATAAAAATAAAAAATTTAAAATAATTTTTTTGAGTTGATTTTTTATTTATTAAAAAAAAAAAAATTGGGGAGTGGGAAAAAAAATCCCAAATTTTGAATTTTTCTGGCAAAACTTTTTCGTCCTCTGATTTTTTTTTTCCTCAAAATTCCCCATTTTCCCCCATTTTTTCCCAATTTCTGATTTTTTTTCCCTAAAATTCCCCATTTTTTTCCCGATTTCTGATTTTTTCCCCCCAAATTTTCCCGAAATTCCCATTTTTTTCCCCAAATTTCCCAATTTTTTCCCCGTTCTCCTCAAACTTCCCACGTTTTCGTCAGAATTCTCCCATTTTATCCCAAATTTCCCATTTTTTCCCCCAATTTCCCTCCGAATATTCAAATTTTCCCCTAAAATTCCCGTTTTTCCCCATTTTACCCCAAAATTTCCCTTTTTTCCCCCAAAATTCCCAATTTTTTCCCGATTTCACCCCAAATTTCCCATTTTTTCCCAAATCCCCCCAAAATTTCCCAATTTTCCCCACAAATTTCCCATTTATCCCCAAAATTCCAATTTTTTTTACCCAAAATTTCCCATTTTTTCCCCAAATTTCCCGGTTTTTCCCCCATTTTTCCCCAAAATTCCCCGGATTTCCCCATTTTCCCCGGGAATTCCCCCTTTTCCCCCCACATTTCCCCTCAGATTTCCCCGTTTTTCCCAAATTTTCCCGTTTTTTCCCCGTTTTTTCCCAAATTCCCCCGATTTTCCCCCAAATTCCCCTCAAGCCCCGCCCCTTTCCCGCCTTCCCCCCTCTCCGCCAATCACCGCCCTCCTCACATCTCTCCCCCTCCCCTCCGCCAATCAGCGCCGCGCTTTCACCCTTTTCCCGTCACGTGACTCCGCCGGCCAATCCCATCCGCGCGTTCAAGCCACGCCCCCTTCCCCTCACGCACAAACAACCCTGAGGGGACGGAGGGGGCAAAAAGGGCGGGGAAAAGGGCGGGGCCTCAATGCTGGCTCCTGATTGGCGAAAACGGCGGCGAGGGGGGCGCGGCCTCGCTGTGATTGGCTGGGGGAAGGCGCGGCCCGAACCCGGAAGTGGCGGCGGTGGCTGAGGGGTGGGGGGAGG